AAGAAATGTTTCACATCACTGGTCATTCGAGAGATGCAGATGAAAACAACACTGAGATTCCACGTCACCCTACAAAGAATGGCTGCTATCCAGAATTCAAACAAAAACAAATGTTGGCAGTGTTGTAGGGAGAAAAGAACCCTTCTCCATTGTTGGTGGGAGTGCACACTAGTGAAACCACTATGGAAATCAATACGGAGATACCTCAAAAGCCTCTGACTAGAGGTTCCATTTGACCCAGCCATAGCTCTGCTGGGTATCTTTCCAAAAGAACTAAAAGAATCACACCACAATGATATATGCACAACCATGTTTATAGCAGCACAGTTTGTATGTAATAGCTAAAACTTGGAAACAGCCCATTTGCCCATCAGTTGGAAACTGGATAAAGAAGATGTGGTTTTTCTATAAATGGAATACTACTCAGCCATAAAGAATGAGAAGTTAGAGTCATTCATAGGAAAATGGACACATTTTTAGGATATACTCCTAAATGAAATAAATACATTATTCATGTGTAAATACCGAATAGTTTCTTGGGTGTGAATGAATTGTAATAGTACATAAGATATTAATCATATAATTGACAATGTGAAATAAGAAGAAAAGGGCTAAGGGTATAGGGAAAGTGGAAAGGGTAGGCAAAAAGTAATAAGGGAATGAAAAAAAATAGAAAATTAGAAAATTAAAATTAAATATTTGTAAATGGGGAAGGGAGGAGGGGATGAAAGTAAGGCTGGGACAAGGGGAAAAAATGAGAACCAAGACCTGACCTGGAAAGGTACAAGATCCCAATAGTGAAGGTAACTGCACTGTATACCAAAAATGTACGATTATACGTACATTTTGTAAAATGTACGAAAGTAAATTCAATGAAGAAAATTTTTTTAAAAAAAGTCAACACTCAAAAAACAATGGCCAATAACAAACTTAGTGAGAGAAAACTAGAGAAAGCATGCCTTTCATGATAGTAGCGAAAAAGTGAAATACTTAAGAGTCAATATAACCAAGGAAGTAAGAGATCTTTGCACTGAAAAGTATAGTACTCCTCCAAAAAAGGAAAATGAAAGGAAGAAATTCCTTGCCTGTGGGTAGGAAGAACCAATGTAGTAAAAATGGCCATACTTCCAAAACTGTCATGCAAATTTAATGCAGTCTCAATCAAAATGCCAATAGCTTACCTCACAGAACTAGAGAGATCATTCCTGACATTCATTTGGAACCAGAAGAGGCCCAGAATAGCAAAAACAATTTTGGGCAACAAAGGTAAGGCAAGAGGCATCAGAATCTCTGACTTGAAATTATACTACAGAGCTTCTGTGATTAAAAACTGCATGGTACTGTCAAAAAACAATCAATGGAACAGGTTAGAAAATAAGAATTAAATTTTCCATAATAAGATCGCTAAATACTTTAGGGATATGATGCTTAATAAATCATAAAAGAGAATCTCCACCTTGTTACCAGGTGTTGGTCCACCACATTTAGTAAGAACAGCTCTTTCTATAAGTCATTGTGCATTCAGTTTTCAGTCTACGATAACTTTTCTTTCCCTCCTACATTCCACTCATCCATTTCCTGGCCATCTTTATTTCCGTTGAGTAAAAGATCATCTGCTCCAGTCTGTTCAATTTAAACTACTTGGGGACCAGAAAACTTTACCAATTATCACAAAAGTTATCTTACATTCTTCCTGTGGGCTCTTACAACCTCTTGTGCTTATTTTAGTCTTTTGTAGGATATAAACTGCCAAAATGAGCACTATTTTACCCTTATTAAGTATCACTTACCCGACCCCCTTGAGATTTGGAGCCTGTCTTGTACTGTCATTCTCTATTCATAATTAAGTAAGAAGCTGGTCTTGTTAGTATGCCTTCTATATACAAGTTCCTGTGTATTTAAAAATACATAATAAACACTTGTACCATTAAGCATGACAGGATGAGAGATGATTAAAAGTAACTGTAACAAGCTTGTGAAGACCACAATCACTCAGTGCATTGAGTGCTTTCAAGGATTACAGAACTCTAAAAAAAAATCATGGTAAATTTATAATATATTTAAAATATTCTACTGTTTGTGGTAGTTTTTTTGAAAGTCAGTTTTCAGGCTGGAATTTAAAGAAAGATTCATAATGCCCTTTTTCTTTTTCAAAATATAGGAAATGATGCTGTGTGTGTTTCAAACAGATGAGTGATAAAATCAGTTTCTAAACAAATCCTGTATTTGGAACAATCTATTGTTTAATCTGTAGCTGTTTACATGGTTGTTTTGAATCCTGTGTCGCAAAGATTATTACATAAAATAATAAAATAACATGTAGATATTTGCAATGTATAAACATGCTCATCCATAAAGATAAGATGAAATATTTTTTTAAGAACTCTCCCTACATTAAGGTAAATTAAGAAATAGAGATGGAACTATAATAGTTTTATGATGAATGAGTAATGTGTCATCTAATTTACACAAAATATAACAAAATATTTCTTAGATAACATTTGAAAATGCAATCTTATTTAACTTGTAGTCATATTTTAAATAAACGACTGAATAGAGTGGAGCAAATATAATGACCATAAGAAAAACACTGTGGCTGTGGTAATGTGATCCTCCTGACTTGTAGGTCTTACTGGAGATCTAGAGAAAACATCATTGCTAGTTATTAAAGTTCATATAAGCATATTTGGAATTCATAAAGTTAATATACCATCAGTTAAACCATTATTTCCTAATTTTTACATACTTGAATATTTTAATTTCGCTGGAGCTCAGAGGTCTGAAAAATAATCTCATTGACAGTAATCAGCAATTCTCCCTCAGCTGCTGTCACACAGAGCAAAGTGGAAGTGGGGAACTAGAGCTTCCTGGGCACAGAATTTGGGTTTGGGGGTGCAAAGCTTCTGGACACGGACACTGGAGATGGCCACAGATCTGTATGAGTGTATTTAACATTGTGAGACTGGAGGCTTAAACTGATCAAAACAAGACATTTTAATGTATATTTTTTTCCACAATAAGAAGGAAATGAATCTTGGCTTACAGACAGGTGATTGCTGTAAAAACCTATGTTTGTATCTGTTTCTCCTCATCAATTTGGCAGAATCCATTGTAATTTGGAGTTCAGGTAGATGTTTTTGTAAATTAAACAAAAAACAGTAAGTTACTTTTGTCTTGTTTTAGTAAAAATAATTGCATAAAAACATCTTTTATTTATTTTATTTTTATTTATTTATTTTTTTGATACCAGGAATTAAACTCAGGACCTTGTCCTTGCAAGGCAGGTGGCAAATCCCTGGCCCTAAAAACATATTTTAGAGAGAATGTTGATGATTATAAGAGTTTATTGTTCTGCTGCAGTTTCCGGAAGGAAAGTAAATCGTAGTTACTCTTTCCATAGAACTGGCCCACTGAATATTTTTAAAATTTCATATCTTTCTCTTTAATTTCCCCCTTTTCTTTGTATGCATTGTGAAAATATAAAGCTATGAACTGATTTTAGAAGATGATTGAAGACAGAGTAGAATAGAGTAGGAAGAAGAAACAGGTGTCAATGTCAGAGCCCTAGACAAAGATTCAGCTGACTTGGGTTCTAAGTCTTCCTTGGTCAGCCCCAAGCACCCTGGAACCTTAGTTTTTCTGGCATAGTATGGGTAAAATAAGGATTCCAGTATTCACATTATACATGGATTAATGCATGTGAATGTATTTTATAGATTGTAAAGTGGTCAAGGGATTGAAGGTGGCATTATTATTTCTATGGTACTACTATTAATAATTTGTTTCACTAAAGGTTTCTGTGGTACAAAATGAATAAAGAATATAAATGTTGTTTTGACTGCATGCCAAATTATGTTACCGTAGGGATGAACTGAATCAGAGAGACTGCTATGATTTCTTTTTTAATTTCTCTTATGGTTTCCCTCAATCTATTCCTCAAGCAATCAGTTAACTCAAAAACCATTGAATACAGTACAGATTGATATATATTTAGAGAAAAAGGTTTTGAGTTATTGGAATCATAGTTACCTTTCGGTTAAATTCATTTGAAAAAAGAAGAGGGAAAAACAAACAATTATAGAAGATGGCTGTATTCACCTATGAGAAATAAAATGGAATGTTATTCAGCTGTCTGTGCTACATATTTGCATTTATAATGATTTGTAGGGTGTATGACATGTTACGGGTGTTTTTAAAAATTGTATGTGAAATATTTGCTACAGTTCAAGAAACATGCTGTGAGGAATGAAAATTAAAATTATTTTTTATTAAAGGCAGAGAGTTTCAGTGTGTGTTTGTATTAGTGTGTGCATGTGCAAGGCTGAGTTTTTCTGTGTGCTTGCCTATTTACAGATGGAAACAGGCAAAGATTCTTCCTTCCTTGATACTCCAGTAAAGGTTTATGTTGCTTGAAAGAGATACTGTTTATTTTCTCACTCTACCTTTTGTGAGGTATAGAGACTCTGACTGTGCCCTGTCATTCAATAGTTTAAAGTACAAATGCTAATTTATTGCCAGACTGCTGCATTGTGATTTGCATTCCAAATCAGACTGCAGATTCCCATTATACATTACCATTCTGTTTTCCTTTATCTAGAATTCCATCCTTTCTTTTATCACTCTCCTCGTTCCCCAATATTGACCCTTTAAAAATTCTCTTTCAACAGATTCCCATTTGAAATCAGCAGCTTTAGTTGTCTAAAATCATAACAATAAATTACAAAGACATCAATAGATTCTTTTCTCCCTCTCCATTTTCTCCCTTTCATGTAAGAGTCCTCTGGCACTAAGTAAAAGACTCAAACCACGTAGCTGTAGCTCGCAGGCTTAAAGGTTTAGCTCTGTTCCTTTGAAAACTCACGCTCCTATTTTTTTTTTTTTAATCAGAAAGATGTGAGCTTACAGGTCCTTTGTTAACAATAATCTTTTACAGATGAACTCTGAAATAGTATAATTACACCCCTTCTTGGCACCTTTAAATCAAATTAACTAGATACTTAGGAGAGGAAAAGGAAAACACACTTTTGCAACATATCTGACTGGGTGAGAAGCAACTGCTGCAGCATAAAGAACTGACGGGAATCTGGGCTTTCCCACTCTGGCAGCAAAGGGGGGAATTATGAGTTGGTGGTCTGCTTCATGTTAGGAGGACACCCCTCCATCTGTTCACAGCTCAGCCTGTTTCCAATTTAAAGCCCAGATTTCAATACAAACCTCAATTTCTTTTCCCCATTTTAAATGCAAAGCGAGCCTTATGAATCATAGTGTCTCTGCTCCCGGAATTCAGACCACATTTCCCCCCAAAATTTTCAGGCTGTTTGTTTGAATACCTGCTTACTGTGGTACACAATGGGCAGCTTTGAGAAGAAAAATTGATAATCTTCACAGAAGAGTAATTTGAATGAAATTACACTTGACAGCCAGTCTCCAAGCAAACAAGAGGAGCTGGGGAGCCTAGCTAAGCTCTAAGGACTTGCCCAAGCCACTGCTGTTGGAACTTCCCAGGGGAAAAAAAAATCACCAGTTTTTTCAACATCTAATTGAGCTTTGATTAATTCTGTGTACCAGATCCTACTGAAGAAAGGTAGCCATGGAAGAGAATATGGAAGAGGGACAGACACAAAAAGGTACTGTGCTGAAAGGGTTTATTTGTAACTAATTATTTTTTAGTTTCCTTGTTTGCTTTAGACACTTGCCAGTAAGGCTCATGAATGTTTCTCTTGGAAGGCATTTTTTCCTTCTCCTTTAGTCTGTTCCTCACTTGCAGTAATGTCTGGCAGAAATGCTGTTATCATTTGGAAATCTTTTCAGATGTACATATCTAAATACATAGTCAAGTATTAGTGATAAGAGCATTGCAGCATTGCTATGGAACTGTTCTTTAGACCGGTCTTTGTTAACCTTCATTGATTTCATGTTTTTATGGTTTGGTAGAGCTTGGTCAAGGGATTGTTGGTATGAGCCAACAACACAATATTTGAAGCAAATCGCAGTTAAAAATCTGATGATGTAACCATTATCAAAACCTTTGCATGGCCATCAGATAGAACAAAGACCAAGACCATTTATTATTTTTGGTTTGTGACATTTAAAAAATCTTGTTTTCCTTTGTATGAATGCAGTTTAGTTTCATATAGATTGAGCAAAAAGCTCATGAATTTCAGGGTGTATAGTATTGTTACGGCTTCCTATCTGTGTGATTGAACCTATGCAACTTCTGGATAATAAACATGAGGGAAATTTTCTGACACAGTTTAAAGGTTATGCAGGACGATCTGGCAGTGCGAGTTAAAGAGAATTTGATATTTTTATAGCTTAAAATTGGTCAAATGTTGCAATTTCAAAAGATTCAAATAGCTCTAGATATTTTTTTTAATGTGTCAAGTGGTAGCTTCAGAGGAAACTGGCTTTCTCTCCAGTACAGGCAGCGTTTCATCTCATGTCTGCTATCAGGCTTATGTAATGTTATAGAAAACACTCTTGTTTTCCTAGGCGTCACACAGTAACACAGGTGATACTACGCAAAGGTAATCCTTAAAGGTAGTATTTTAAAAAAGGGTTGACTATTAAAGTAGATTTTTAAATGTAAGTGAATGAGTTGTTTTTTAAAAGACGAATTTATCTGCTAAAATAGGTAGTTTGGGAGCACAATATATTTTCTTATATTTTAAGATATTCAGATACACTAAGTCTCTTAAAATGTGAGTACAAGCACAATTTGAGGTATATATGAATATATATATATATGTATATATGAATACACACACACACACACACACACACACACACATATATGACACTGATACTGATGTTGAAAGGTTTTATATAACCAGTACAGAAAGATGATAGATAAGCTAATCTCCACATTTAAGCAATGTTAACAATACTGTAATTAAAACCCAATAATTTACCTAGATATAATTTGATCTATTTTTAAAATTAAAACATCCCAACTGTATTGTATATACAAATAACTAAGTGTCCATTAATGATTTTGAATGGAAGATTTTTTTTTTTATAATTTCTGTCCTTACAAAATCTTGTGGTGGACTCTTATATTATAAAAAAATTATTTTAATATCTTTTTCTAGCACATACTGATACTGCTTCATGGCTATTCAGTTTATTTAAGGAAAGACAAGCTAATTATTTTATATAGAAAAATGATATTCATCACATGAAATAAAAACTTCAGTTAAACCATGGATTGTGGTAACATGTTGAATGTATCTGAATAAAACTTATAAGATGCAGGAACAAGAAAACTATATATTTAGTTGTGATTTTTTCTTATGGTAGCACTGAAAATCTTTTTTTTCTTTTTTTTGTGGCAATGGGTTCAGTAATGGTGTTAGAGGGAATATTTGGTCGGAGGGTCTGTCATCAGTGAAGTGCACGGAGGTGAATCAGGAACAGTATTGGGAGCAATTGTAAAAATAAAAAGTGGAAATCTGCTCTTTAAGTACATAATGGTAAAGCAAAATATCTATGATTCATATTTTTTATTACTTGAGAGAAAGAAGGTTTATGCTCCTTTATTTCTGATCTGTTTTGTTCATCTTTGCCATGACAACTGTTCTATATAAGCTTGTTGTGAGAAAGTTACATTGGAATATAAATTATCTTTCTGCATGTGGGGGAAGGGAAATGATATGAAATTTAATAAGATCTAAGTTGGTGGAGCTATTTGAAAAGCAGAAAGCATTGGAAATTTTTCAAGAGTCCAAGTGGGCAGATTCAATGGTGCATCTGCATTGAAGGAAAGAAGCTGTGTTATTTCTTAATCTGTTTTTCTTAAGCTATATAGGATTTGTTTTTACAATTCAGATACTGCAGAGTTTTCTTTCATTTGAAAGATGCTTTCTGGTTTCTTTTTTTAATTTAATGCTTTTTTATACTACATAATTGTACTGATTCTTGACCAGGTTATTTAAGAAAATATAAACTGATAATTTTATATAGATACATGATATTCATTATAATAAAAACTTCAATTCAATCATAGGTTATTGTAACAGGTTGAATGTGTCTGAGCAAACCTTAGTTAATGCAGAAAACAAGAAAATGATGTAATTAGTTGTGATGCTTCTTTTTTTTTTTTTTAAGGGACACTGAAAATCTTTCACTTGTCTGGATGGGGTTATAAGCTATTCTCTTCTGTTACAAATCAGGATTTAATAACAGTGTTTTTTCTATGTCATCTTCCAAATTTAACTGAAATATAAAATGGAAACCAGTAGTTTCACTAGCCACACACACACACACACACACACATATATATATATATATATATATATATAAAATGCATATATATGTGTGTATATAATATATATTGCTTATGGACTTAAAAAATACAGCAAAATAAGATAAGTAATAACTTCCACTCTGATTTTGATGATGTGTTCAGCCCAGGAGAGTTGATACTTTAAGAGTGTGTTACTTCACTGGCTTTTCTGTTTAATAAATCATGTTTTGATGTGAGTCTAATATGAAGGTCATTATCTGTTGCTCTGTCCATTTCTGGAGCCTCACCAAAGGTGAGTATCTCATTGTGTTGAAGAAATTCTAGTGTTTTAAGAAACACCTAGTTTTTGTGACAAGTACTTTGTAAATGGAATTCCATTACTTTAGCTTGTGTTCAACCAAAGCAACAGTGTTCTAGTATTTTTAAAAGAGAAAAAAATAAAAATAGGTTCCCAGGTATGTTCCATACTAAATCTTATGTTGCGCTCATCAGAAGTCAAGATACATGGTGGCCAAATTATGTCAGTGAGGGTTCCAATTACTGTAGATAGGTTAATCAGAGCTTTTTGTAAAAATTTAAAAAGTAATCTCTATTCAGAGTTTTGCTTTCCATTGCTTGAATCACCATGGCTATCTGAGGTCTGAAAATATTAAATGGGAAATTCCAGAAATAAAAACAATATTTAAATTTTTATTTTCATTTGGTTTTCAGTGGCACAATGAAATCTGCAATTCTGCTTCTTTCTGCCTAGAATATGAATCTTCCTTTGTCCAGAGTATCCACATTGTATACCCTATCCACCCAATTGTGACTTAGTAAACATCTTGATTACCAAATTGACAACTGTCAATCTTTAACTGTCACAGTATCACAGTGCATATGTTGAAGTTACCCTGATTTATTTAATAATGACTCCAAACACAAGAGCAGTGCTGGCAATTCAGATATGGCAAAAAGAATCTGTAAAAGGCTTCCTGTAGTGAAGAGGTGAAAGTTCTTGACTTAATAAGGAAATGAAAAATGTCTTATGTTGAAGTTGCTGCAAGCTATGGTAAGAATGAATCTTCTATATATTGAAATCATGAAGAAGGGAAAAATAAATTCATGCTACTTTTTCTGTCACACCTCAAGCAGCAAAAGTCATGGCTACAGTATGTGAAATATGCCTAATCCTTCCCTTCACTTTATCTCATTACGTTGGCATTGTATCATCTCACAACATCAAAACAAGAAAGATGAATGCAGTACAAAAAGAAAGCTTGAGAGAGACAGGAAAAAAAAAGAGAGACCATACTCACGTAACTTCCATTAGAGTATACTGTCATAATTGTTTTATTTTATTATTGGTTAATATTGTTAATCCTTTATTGTGTCTAATGTGCAATTTAAACTTTATTATAGGTATACATGTATAGGAAAATACAGATATGTCAAGTTCACTACTATCCACAATTTCAGGTATCCACTGATGGTCTTGGGACATATTTTCTTAACTACTGTATACATTTGTGACTTGCAGTCATTCAACTATACCTGAAACATTTTAACAAATCCTATGGGAAAAGCTGTAAATGATTTAAATTGTTATGATCATTTAACAATTGGTGAATATGCATTTAGTCAGGCAGACAAATGAGTGACTTATTTTGTAGATGACTTCAAAGGAGGTGATAATGAATTAGAAGGAATTCACAGAGGAATTCTGGTGAATAAATGAGTAGATGCAGTGCTGAACACAGAAGACAACATTTGAGGTATTCATAACTGTGCTTTTCTGGTATAATAATCCACAGAAGCTATCAAATTCTCAAAGTCATCCAGAGTCTGCCGTGAACTTCCTCTCCAACCTGAAGTCTGGTGCACCGTACCATTAATAGCATCAGTTCTTGATGATCTTCATGGAATGGGTCAGTGGCAGAAGTCGGTGTGACTCAGTGTGAACAGAGTCCAGTTTTGTCATTTCAGCCCATATCTTAGGAGCTTTCTCCAGTTGTCACCGTGCATCTTGAGCTCAGTAACACTAACATGTGCCACCTCAGCATTATCCTTAACTTCTTAAAACCAGCAATAGGCATGCTTCAGCCTCCCTGAGTGAAGGTGAATGGCCTTGGACTGTTCATAAAATAGTAAATTTTTAAGAAGTGACAAAGCTTCCTTTATTTTTTAGTATAAAAATTAACATTAAACATGACACATAAAATTAATGTAGTGTGATGTATTTTAATATAACATTGAAGTGTAAGAGGAAAGCTGCCTGTAGGCTATAGATAGATGAAAAGATAGTGTACAGGTCTATTTTCTTTTTGTTTGCTTTCAACATTAATGTCTGTCTCATAATTAAGAATGCTATCGCTATATATGACATATGAGCTCATAATTATA